GTAGATTTCTTTACATTATTCCTTCTAGTTTCACCACCATGTCCTTCTCGTACACCATAATTTATACACCTTACGTCCCCAAACGGACTGCGCGGAAAATAAGCTAAATCAACGTCGGCCCTACATCGAGGCCCGGCAGGCCTTATAGGATAGGTGGGCCAACAAAAATGCCAGCAGTGAGGGTGTGGAAACACGCTCAGGTGCAGGTCTGAGTCGCGTCATTTGGTATCTAAGCCGCCTTCCCCTTTTTCATTTTGTGTAAAATTCTAGTCGGTGTAGGTTACGGATCACGTGTGGGTTTTCGTCCTGTGGGCCAGCCGCTCACTCTGCCTCATTTGTTCTGTTCAACTTTGTGGGCCTGGTGTAGGTTCTGGTTGAGTGTGCGGTGAATGCGGCGCAAGTCCACCATTGTCACAAATTAAGTAATGCGCAAGTCACCGTCCTTGCCCTCACCCTGTAGCTAAAAACACGCTGAGTGTCATCGGTAACGGAAATCGAACTAACTTTGCGGTACACGATGACTTACCTTACCAGATACGCCTGGAAGTTAAGAAAGGATCGGAAGTAAATCTTATTCGTTAAAAAGTCAAGGGTCGTGTGGGATCATTTGCGCACCGTCATACAGCCGGTCATTCGTAGAAACCATATGGCTGTGCCAAGATACCAGATTATTTTGCCTTTGCGTTGCCGACACGTCTCTTTAACTGCATTCCCTGTTTTAACGTGACGGGCATAACTGCACAGGACTACCCTCGCCTCGCTGACGTTTTGGATACTAATTTCATTCCCAAACCTGTTTTACTTACTGCATTTTTTATCTAGGGTCTGTGAGATATCGAATGTCAATTCGTCGGATCTTCGAGTTTACAGACACAAATTACCTGTGGTGTCATCTCTCAAAGACATAGACGCATATAAGCGAATAAATTACAGGAAACGTTGTAACAGTTAACTGGTAGTCCGACTATGGACCTCGAAAAACAAGCGATATCGTAGCTTGCGATACCTGTTGATGTCAAATGTCCGATTTCAGGCTTCCACTAAAGATCCGAAGCACCTGCTCCAGTTTCCCTTTTCTCCGGCTTCGTTTTGTGGGTCGATGGCCGCAACAACCGTTGCCAGGTTGCGGACACACGACCACCCCCAATGGCCAGAGCTGGGGCCCCTCCTGTCCAGCTGCAGTGAGCCCCGGCATCCCCCACAAACAATTATCACCTCATCCGCGTCGGACGACCTGGCTTGATACCCGTGAGCCCCTGTAATTAAACTTCCCCCTAATCCGTCCAATCTCATGACGAGCACTCAACCAGTCACCCCCACCTACTGACACAGATTTTCACCCCCGCGTAAACGTCACACCGCGACCGACGCTCTCCGTGAACGGACGCATCTCTCTGTTGCAAGCAAACAGCCAATTTATGGCTAACTGCACTGTGTACCGAATAAACTATTCCTCACAGCTCCCTGAGTGCTGACATCAGACGAAGCGAATTTATTGTGCGTGGTTTAAGTTGACTTCACATCCTTGACCGCCAAAGATCGGTTCTTACAACCCCGTCATACACAGCCGTCTATAAAAACTATTGTATTGCCCATACCCTCCCATACCGACTGGTCATTAAGAGCAACAGTTTACGGCAACTGTGTTGTTAAATGCCCCAATGAAGTCCTACGTGCTTACATTTTCCAATAACTGCAAACGAACACAATCCTTGAGTTCAGTAAGAAATACAATATGATTCTGAGTCATTTGCGTTCGAATATCGTCTTAACTTCTCTTCAACATCGATAGGGTCAATATTATTCTAACTGATGTCTCTCAGATGGTCAGGTCCAGAGTAAGTGTTTGCATATGCCCTTGGAGAACTTATAGACGTTCTGTGCAAATCGGAATCCAAGATATCCCAAATATCCATTGAAAAAAAGGAAACATCCGGAGGGATGCATAAATGCCGTTATTCTTCAATCTGCAAAGGAAGGTCTGCAAAGGAGTCGGAAAATTAGCGATCTGTTATTTTAACCTACATTTCCTGTAAAAATCTGAAACAACCTATCGATGGGTACTTGACGAGGTATCTGCTGCAGAGGAACCTATTATGTGTCACCCAGCACGGCATTCAGCGGCGCACGCAATCCTGCAAGCAATCATTACACACAGGAAAAGTGAACGAAAACCACGAACTATGGACAATTAGTAATAATGATAATAATAATAATAATTTTGATTAACGCCGCCTTCGCCGCGTCCTGTAAGCAGTCAGATATTAATCACTTAGAGTCGCCACCACATGCATTACAATTCAGCAGACAGGCTCGGTGACTTTTGAATAAATTCAAGCGAGATCTCCAGAAGTCAAAAGGGGAGGGGACTAGGGGAGAGGGCCTTGAAATATTTTTGATGAACTATAATAAAAATAGTAGTAGTTAATGCCAGTTTACAGGCATTGTCATGAAAAGATTAAATATAAATCCAGTCAGCAGTAAAAAAAACTCATGATAAAAAATAAAGATGATGGTGGTTTTTAAGAGCTTGGAGTGCTCCGGAGAATAAAAAACTGCTGATCATGACATGACGACAGACAATAAAGGGAGGGGTAGCACTGCATCGGATATTATCAGTCGCCATTTCTTATCATGTAGTTGGGACTGGACCAAGCAGAAGCACTGAAGGACAACTGTCACTGTTGGCTAAAGAAATTGTCCCTGGTGAGACCGGCTATAGGCATCAGAGACCATGAACGTCATTGCTACGGCATATTCGATCGGTAGATTCAGCATCCAAAATTTGTGGGAGTTTTTCTGAATGCAAAAACGAGCAATAGTTCTCTTAAACAAAGGATAATTTTGCAGAATTTTCTCACTCCTGGGTAATTTATTCCAAATGGCAATTGTGTTCACAGAAAAGAACCGAAGATATTTAACGGTGCGTGCCAGTGGAAGAAATAAAAAGACCTCACGTGACTGTTACGTCGGGAGTGGGCAAGATATTTTAAAGTAGTGAGGGGATTAAAGATACGGTCATATAGAAGCTTAAATGGTAAAAATAGTCCATTTTTAAACTACGAAACCACAAAGGGTCGAGGTCTGTAAGACGACAATGTTCTTGGCACGACAGATTCCGGTCTTCCGGGGATAAAACTCTCTTGGTAAAAAGTTTGGACGGATTCTATTCTCTTTCGCTCAGCAGCACGCATGCAGCTAAATATAAGCGAACAGTATTCTGGGCCGGGTCTAACGTACATGTTAAAAAGACGCATTCTAATATCGCTGGTTTTAAAGTTTCGGAGGATAAACCCGGTCAGTCTACGTGCTTTGGAGACTATCAGGAAGCAGTGCTCCGAAAGTTTAAGACTTTTGGAGTTCAGAAGATGAAGATGCGATCACTGGGACAAGAAGTTTTTTTGCCTGACGTTTCGGATTCTCACTCGAACCCATCATCAGAGACATTCGCAGATAGAGGTGAAGGTGGCACCAGGAGTGCAGTATTTATAGCACGTGGCTGCCGTGGGACCGTATGCGCAATGCAATTAACAGTTCTCACAATCGCCGCTGGGGTCGTAATTGATGCGGCGGTGGCTTGGCGGTCCGAGTCCGAGTTGTTAATTGCCGCGATTTCGTCATCCGTGCTCGATGCTGATGTGACGATGACTCGGCAAACTGGCTCACTGTCACCGTGATAATTGCTCACCCGCGCCCTCCCCACGTGACTGATTCTCCTGCCCAGGGAAAATCGCAATACGGAATAGGCCACCGGGAGGTCATTGTGTTTGTTGATGGATTGCGGGCCTGAAAACCATGACTCGAGCAGCTCGCGGCTCACGCGGTTGTCACCCCTTGCGAGGATTTTGGCCTCTTGAAATTTGAAAATATGGCCGGGTCCCGTCGAGTGCGCCGCCACCTGAGAGTTAGCGTCTCCCCGCCTCACTGCTGCTGCGTGCTCGGCAAGTCGCGTACGGAGTAATCTCCCAGTTTCTCCGACATAATTGCTTTGTCCGCAACTACACCAGATCCGGTAAACGACTCTGGACGTTTCCTGCCGTGGCAGCGGGTCTTTTGGCCTCATTACTTGGCGCCTAATGGTTGCTTCCGGCCTGTGTGCAACCCCAACTCCAAGTGGAGTGAGAAGACGACTGACGGCTTCCGAGACGTTCTTCACGTACGGAAGAGCACGCCAAAATTTAGGGCTAGTTGGATTTGGTCTCTGGTGTCCTTTTCGTATGCACTGGTTGACAAAGTTGCGCTGGTAGCCATTGGCTCTCATAACCCGTCGAAGATATTGTAATTCAGCAACCTTGTCTTCCATTTCACTGCAGTGCGTCTCAACGCGCCAGTATAGCGCCCTTACGCAACTGCGTTTGTGACTGATCGGGTGGTTGCTATTGAAGTTCAGTATTTGCGTCGTATTTGTCGCTTTCCTGAACACTTTGGTTTTTAAGCCACCACAATCTTTGTGGCAGACGAGGACATCCAGGAAGGCTAGCTGATTGTTTTTCTCCTCCTCCATCGTAAACTGAATGTCCGGGAAGACGGCGTTGAGTTGTTCTTTGAAAGTCAGCACCTGATCCCGTTCGATGACGACGAAGGTGTCATCCACATACCGAGCCCAGAATTTCGGTCTGTGGTGTCGGAAAACCAGCGACTCCAGCCGTTGAAGGACCGCCTCGGCTATGAGTCCCGAAATCTGCGAACCCATTGGCATTCCCTTCACCTGCTCGTAGATTCTTCCGTCGAATGTAAAGTACGTCTTGAGACAGAACTTCAGGAGCTGGATGATTTGGGCGTGTCCGAGGCGATTTTCCGTTTCGTCGTACTTCTCTCGTAGGAGTAGTTCGATTGTCTCGACTGCCAGGTCCTGTGGGATAGAAGTAAAAAGGGACGTGACATCAAAGGAAGTATGATACACCCAGATCCATAATAATTCCAGTGCCTCATCTGCGGCTCTTGTAAAAGATTTGATTTCGCGGAATCCAATTCAACCTTTTTATGTAGATAAAAACTCCTGTCATTGAGACTGTAAAGGGAGGTCATTGACATCACGGCTTCAGCGTGGGTGCAAATAAATGTGCTGTACCACAGGATTCAGTACTATGCCCCCTTCACTTTCACACGCATACGACAGGTTTTTCTGAAGTTATTGACTGTGATGCAGCCAGATTTACAGACAACAGAAGAACCTGGAAAAAATCAACTTTGGCGCCAACTCGCGAAAACTAAAAAAACACTGATTAACTGACCATCGTGTCCACCAAGTGGCTTCTGACATTTATGGCATCCGAATGTGCAGTATTGTGTTTGGAAGCTGACCGAATATGTTTCCTAAACGACAATTCTCTATTAACCCTATCCCACTTAAAGACTTGGATATGCAAAAAATTCCAGTTTCTTATATCATTTCGATCTTGATTTCACTTAAGCAATGTAAACCTGAACGTCAAAAACACAACGATCGCCGTCCGCTGAATCTGACATACTCTGGTTGTCTTCCCTCTTGAAATCTATGCGAGGATGCTTGCTGCGTCCGTAAAACCGTATGTTAGGTATCCAATGCTGTGATCGATGACTTGAGTAAAGGTAGATTGACCAATTTGAGCAGGCGTAATTAAAGACAACGAAACTAGTGGACAGTTCTAGACCTTGTCATTATCAAGAGAACCTATAAAGCTTTATCTGTTTCCCATTTCCTGCAGGAAATTGAGGTACAATATGTACTTAACATTCCACATTTTCCGTGCGCGCCATATTTTCGTCTCAGATTCTAAGATTTCTCCGAATTTCAGACAAACGTCATTTGCGGAGCACTGGTTTAAGGTCGGACGCAAATTTACTCCTCTAGACAAACAAAACATTTCATTCCGACTGCGATAGTAAATTCGACTCCAAGCCCTTTCGCAAAGTGTGCGGTTTACTAGACATCCACAAAGCATGCACGACACCATACCGCCCTGAGGGTAATGGCCTTGTTGAACGCACTAATCACAGCATTCATAATCTCCTACTTGTATTTACTTAAGACAGCCATACGCATGATTGGGCAGTCCAACTCCCATTTTGCCTCTTGGCCCATAGTGGCTCAGTCCACTTGTCCAGTGGACTCACACCCCACTACCTCTGGACAGGTCACGAGCCACGCCTCATAGAAGATCTTCAGTACCCCCTATATACACCGGACCTCACAACCATAACTGCCTATGTCTGCCAACTTCTCCAGGTGATACGTAGCGCATACAACTGAACACGTGAGGCATTTGGTACAGATTCTTCATATCAAAAAACACAATATGACCGCCACTCGATCGGAACTACACATTAATTTCTTCATGTACTTATGCACAACAACCCCATACCACCACGCGGACTTCCAGCGAAACTCCACTTTTCCTGACAAGTTCCTGCGTCGTTTCCGATGTTCTGCCACCTTCAAACTACCTCCTTCGCGATGCCGTACAACCCCACTCTCCCGCATTTGCGGCAAACTTTAACAAAATCAAACCCTACCGCAGTCGGTTACCTTTTTGCGCACCAGACTCCCTACTTATCCTTTGAAACGGCCAAGTTCTCCCCGTAGACATCGAGGTCATTGTTCCCTCAACCGTTAAGGTCACTATCCCCTAACCCGTCGACCATAGCAGCACTGAGGACAGTGCTCCAACCTAGATGGAGGCTATATAATAGCCCAAGTAGAACATGAGGTTCCGACTGTGTTTTAATAAATAAGTGACTACTCATCTCGTAAAAAATTCCAGACCAAGATCGACTCATGAACCCGATCAAAGCGCTGGCCTGCATGCCTGATTAGCCCTATCTACCGTTACATTATGTTCGTTCTCTCGTTTATCGTTGTTTCAGTTTGTTTTCCACCTCCCGTGTTTTTTTGGGTTAACCCTGTAATCTTATGTATGTATATATTCGTCCATCAATAACTTTTTACCTTAGTTCATGACGTCAACTCATTACTCATTTGCTATCGACGTTTGTATATGTTTATATACTCTCTGATAATAGACATCCTCATCTGAATCTGCTTGTGTCATTCACAATTAACGTTCAGTTGTGGTGCGATTGAGACTGTATGCGAAGAATGCTTGATGCCCCGAGTTCAGGAACTCAACTTGACACTTAGGCTGTGAAAAAGACGAAACTGTTCCTAACAGATAACAAATTTCTGCCCCCTACTGACCCTCCCTCAAAGACGTTACACGATTTTGTCTTGAGTGACCGTTAACATGATCATTAGCGAATGGTCATTCTAAATTTTTAACATACGGAAAGACAACTTTATGTGGCGTGGCTGCTATTTACACGTAATTTAGAAACAGAAATTAAGAATTACGCACTACTGCAGTATGAATATGGCCGAAATTCTATGCATACATAATCGTAGAACGAAACCGGCAGATAAACAAAGGTAGCGGAAAGGATACATTATAAGGAGGAAAGCAAGCTCTTCCCTTAGAAATAGAAAAACTATTAATATGTCTCAGGAAATTGATAAAAAGGTCCAACAGTGTTCATATTAGTTGCCATAACCGGGCAAAATGTAACCTAGCGTGAGCATCCATCAACAAAAATAGTATTAATGAAGTTTCGTGTTAGGGTGTTTTCAAATGCCTTGCTCGTTGTATGCTCATGCGTCGTGCCCTCACTGAATTCGCTTCGTCGACGCTCCTGGCGGAACCTGATTTATTCGCCATATACTAGTAGTCTGGTCGCATCTCTTTTGCCCGCTCCACGGCTGGACTCGGCTGAATGTAACCGATCGCATCTACGTTCATATCGCCTCAAGACTGGTTTTCTATTCGCTACTTGGACAGGAATGACATCAGCCGGCATATGAACTCTGCCTTGCTGATGTCCGTTCTAAACCTTTTGCTCAATACCACATACAGGCCAGTCCTGCCTGATCCGCCTACTTATCCCTTCATTAAATCCGTAATACGCTGTCACATGCAGGCCGCTCCGGACAGCGTTTTATACATCCGCGAGCGACATTTATTTTCTTCTATAGTGTTAATCCAGTCATACTCATTTGTTTATAAATTAGGAGTTTTTTTTCACCGCAAGCTCATCATTCTTCGCAACATACTACATATTCAATAACTATTAATTAAGTGTTGTATAGATTCTGTACACCTGTTCTAAAATTTATGTAAAAGTGCTTCTTTCTTGTTATGGACGGACCCCGCGGGTCTTAAATAAAAATTATTATAAAATGGGACTCCAACATCCATCTACGTGAAGAAGATTGCCCAAGCAATCGTCATTTCGGTAAATCCTTCCAAGCATTACCTTATTTGTAAGGTTTTGACGATTGTACGTTAGAACATTTATTTTCGTAAAGGATCGATTGAAAAACTGAAAATCGTGAAGTATTCAGCGACATTTCAAGGACGAACTGAAACTCAATAAATTCTACTGTCAGAAGAAACCGCAAATAAATCTGACTAAAAGTGCTCTTTATATGCACAACCTGGAAGGTTAACTGTTGAAACTGTGAGTTTTATCCAGATTTAGTAGCCATTGACACGCCAGTCAATATATGAGCATATTGCAACTCTAAATATTGTGACGCATTTATCAGCAAAATAAACCCAACTCATTTAAATTGAAGAGTAGATGGCAGGACAGGATTCCGATACAGAACTAATAATTTTTTATTAAGGACCCGTTGGGGTCCCATCAAAGCAATTAAAAATAAATTTTCATAGGAATCTTAGACGAGGTAAGCAGAATCTGTACAAATTGCAATTAATAGTTTCTGAACTTTAGTCCGTTAAGAAAAATGATGAGCGAGCAGTGAAAAGACTCCACCTAAGAATTTGAAAATGATGGGATTAATTTTACAGGAGAAAAAAACCCTCGCTCATAATAACACAAAAATTCGGGCAGAACTGGCCTGCATGTGGCGGTATATAACGGATTATAATCGGACATCGTCAGGCAGAAATTAATGTCAACCTTGAGGGCAATCATGCGGGTCAGACATGACTGGCCTGTATGTGGTATTATATACGGGATTCAGGACGGACATCCTCAGGGCAGAATTCATACACCGGATAAGATTGTTCGCGTCAAAGTGGTCAGACGAGAGGAACCCAGACGCGATCGGCCACAGTACACTTCCAGCTCAGCCGAGGAGTGAAGAAGGAGGGTACGACCAAACTACTAGTATACGGCGAATACAGAGGGTTCCACCATGAATGTCGACAGACCGTTTGAGGTTAAAATGAGGAGGCGACATCATTAACCGCGAAAATCTTCGCTATGGGTTGGGAGTGGTAGCACTGAATTGAGTATCCAACTCAAAGCAGAGGGTTGTAAAAATATAAGTGAGCTTCCACTTGATCTACCACTAAATCCCAAGAGGACCCTTCTCGAAGTCAAAAAGATCAGTGTTCGGGAATGAGACCGCTAAGAGGGCCTTCATGCTTTCAGGTGTAAGGTATTTGCGCAACTTCAACTTAAATACCAGTAACTTAGGTGATGACCTAGTTTTTGGCGTAAGATTATTCCAAAGGAAAGCATATTTGGAATCAAAGAAGAGGGAGCGCTTAGATGTAGTGCAAAGAGGCGGTGAAATCACAATGGAGGAGTTGAGCATGGCATAACAGCAACTTTTCGGAGTGAGAGTATCAATGGGCGGAAGACTGAAGATAAAGTCAATGCGACAAATGTAGCAAAGGCCAGCTTCGAGTCTACTCACCCACAAAAACGTAATCTTCGCCACCTCACATCTCTGGGTACAAGAAGTACCGGATGCCACTTGAGAAAACAACATGTGGACGAAAACCCTCTGAAAAATTTTGATTTTATTACAGTCACAGGCGCTCATTAAGCCAAAGAAAGGGCAGCGGTATTCGAGGACTGGAAGGAAAAAATTATCCGATATGGACCCACATATCTGCGTGGCTTTAGCAGAGATTCCGTCCGCATGAGATGATAAAGCAAGTTTATTTGTATAAGTAGGTCTAGGTAAGTAAGACTAGGTCCTTAGCGGTGAAGCATTCTGAGAGTGGGCTATTCTGAAAAATTGTGGGAACAGGAAGTTTGACAGTACCAAAAGACATGAAACTACACTTGGATGATGAAAAGTTCATCTGCCATGTTGAACCCCACCTGCTTAAGCGTAGTAAATCGGCATTAATTTTTTCAACACAAACGATTACGGTGTCCTTAGAATATGAGTAAACACACTTGAGATCATCGGCATAAACAAAAGTTTGCGAATTTCCGAGTTCACTCATAATATCATTTACGTAAAGAAAAAAAGAGTGGCGGACCCAGAACCGTGCCTTGATGTACGCCACTCGTGATCGAGTGAGATGTCGACTAGCTATTACCAACCATTACTTTCTGATAGCAGTTTGATAGGCAAGACTCTATTTAGTCGAGTAGAGGCGACTGGATGCAGAGAGCTCCCCATTTTACCAAAAGACCTCTATGGGGCAACTTTTCGGAGGCTTCGCTAAGATCAAAGTAGATTACCACCACTGACTGCCGCTCATTACGAAGAGAAGTAATTAGATTAAGAAAAGCCAAGCGACATGTTTCGCAGGATGGTTCAGGTAAAAATCCATGCTGACTAGAGCTCAGAAGCCGATTAGCTAGACGGAAGTCAAGAATTTCATTGAAAATAATCCTTTCAAGAAGCTTTGGTAGAGGCGGCGTTTTGTACACGCCCCGATAGTTATTAACATGGGACCGAAATCCTGACTTGAAGACGGGAATGATAATTGACGTTTTCCATGTTTCAGGAAAGAATCCTTTTGAAATAAAAACAGAGAATAAATGACTTAGCAATATGGGAAGCTCGGATGCTTGTTTAGTAATCGAATTTGGAATCTCGTCCGTTCCTGAGCGGTGTGAGCATTTCAAACGACTTATGTGTTTCTAAATAAGATCTGTGGAGACATCGATTGTACTAAGCGTCCTATCTGAAAGTGAACGAAAGAAAGAAACTGGTTCGGACTCAGTATTAAGGTGTTTTGCAAAGAAAGCACTAAACAACCCCGCCTTGTCAGTGTCATCAGTGAGGAAGACTTTGTTATCATTGAGCTTGGGTGGAAGTTCATGACCACGCTTAGAGGGCGACCGACGACGGAAGATGTAAGCGATAGGTTTGCCAGGGTTCGAATCACTGAGGGCAAGTGATTCTGTTTGCCCGTGGCGCTCGTGGCGCATCCTTGAGGCCACTTTGAGAATTTCTGCGACTATTAGATGAACGGATTAAGAACTCGTGGATACGTCACGTAGTTTCCATTTCATCTTTGGTAGAATGTCGCGAAGAATATCAGGAACAAGGGAATCCGCAAAATTAGACTTGAGATATATTCGAGGCACCAACTCTAATATGTCCTTGGAAACATTCGACATGACATCACCAAGAATGTTTACATCGATACAGGAGAGGAAGCCACACCAATCCAAATATCTAATATTGTTATTGATTAAGTCGTTATGTACGCAACCGTAGTTTAGGTAAGTTCGAACAGTGCCAGTCTTTTTTGAAAAGGCAAGCGGTTAGCAACAATGAATTAATACGTGGTCACAACCAAGAAGGTCCTTTTTGAATGCAACACAAAGAGAGGTAGTGTCATTGGTAAATATTAGATCTAAATTGTGGTTATCTCGTGTTGGAGAGTGCACCAGTTGAGACCAGTTAGAAAAATTAACAATTGGAAGGGCTGGAATTTACGTGGACAGATATTTGAAGTCCAGTCAATTTCAGGAAGGTTAAAATCCCCAGACATTATTTTAACATGGAAAGCAGCTTCCGAACTTAATTCAAAGATTTCACAGAGTTGCGAATCATCACTGGCAGAAAAGTCTTGGGGATTATAGATACAGCCAATAATTGCCTTTCTTTGCGGCGAGTGAATAACAGATGCAAAGCAGAAGATTCCCATGTATGAAGAGACACCCAGGTTATAGGGAGTGTTTTAGGTGGGATCTAAGATAAGGAAGACAACCGCCCCACGCCTAGATGTGCGGTCTTGACGGCAAAAATCAAAGTCATTTACGAGAAGGGCAGGGTCAGGAATTAGGAAATGGAACCAAGATTCTGTTACACGTACAATATCAGGCGTCATTTCGAGACCAATGGCTCTGATTTGGGCCATCTTGTTCATAACAGACCTGACATTCAGTAATATAATGCTTAAAGTGTATAGGACAGCAAGGCCATTTTCGACGGTATTTAGAAGAAAAAATTTGGGGGGGATATGTAAACTGTGAATTTATGTCAGTTTTCAATAAGTACCAATTAGTCAGGAGTTATTGAGTTACGGGTAGTCAGCAAGATAAGGGTGAACATGAGACCTAGAGGATGTGGAGACATAGTTTTCGAGCATTGGAATGCTAGGGGAGTTAGAACAGGGATAGGCTTGTTGTTCGTTAAATTTAAGAGGAGGACCAGAAGGAGGGGGAGGAGGGAGTCCAGAAGGGATGCAGAAGCTGGCGGAGGTGGGTAGGCAGCTATAAGAATAAAAAGGTGGGAAACCAGTTCTGGGTTGGAAGTCAGAGGAGTTCGGTTGGCTTACCTGAGAGCAGTTGGCCTTAAGTCGTGGGAAGCCTGAACTAGATTGGTGGGATAAATGACTTAGAGCAATTCACGTATGAATTATTTGCTGGATACATAGTAGGGCTTTGGTAAAAAACCGGTACGCAGGACAGAGAATTTTTCGGGGATATAATTGGAGTCGCGGTGTTTGTAGACTTGCTGGACTGTAAAGGCTTGGCAGATATATGAGAAGGCGGCGTACCCCTAAATGGAATTGTACTAACTTTCTTTTGGGTCGGAATCAGATTTAGTTTTGGAGTCTCACCGTTCTGACGCCAAGCCACATGTCACTTAACTGTTGAGTTTGCAGCATCCTGTTGAACTGGAAAGTTATCGGTCTGGCTGATGTAGACGGATTTTCATGCGTTCTAGGGGGTCCGTCTGGAGGATAAGAAACGACAAATGGGGCTGCTGCTGCTTCTGCTGCTAATTCAGGGGCAGGCAAATGCGTCAATTGGCCTGAGTGAGAGGGAGATGTAGGAGACAGGGGAAGGAAGGAGTCGGATTTTGGAGCAATAGGACAAACCGAATCCGCACAATTTTCTTCGGCATAGTGCCCCCAGACGGCCAAAAGAAACTAGAAGTCATAAGGAGACGTTTTACTAGATCTTTGTCCAGAAATGATGGCACGCATGGTTCATTCTTATAAAAATATCATAAATATGGTCTGCGACCCCTCTGGAACAGAAGACTCCAGATGGTCCAAACTTCCTTTTCAAGGTCACTCATGAGCATAGTGATGGGGATTTTCACAACCTTATTTTCAAAATGAATTTACTAAGAAACTAAAATGCCCCCCGAAACACCAGAAATAACGAAGACATTAAGACTTAGGCTTAGGTTTACTGTCAGGATCGGGGTTATGTCTTGCGTAAACTTTAATATTAGGGGTGGGATTAAAGTTTGGGTGGGTTTGGGCTGACGTTAACATGATTATCCACTGCGATACTGTTATAGCGGGTCTAGATAATCGATAATGTGATCCCACGCTAAGGCCAAGTCGAGAAAAGACAGGCAAATGGACCACGCCGGAACGGACCTCACTGTCAACATCACCCAGCGAAGAACAAAGCCACTGGGTGAAAAGTTAGTTAGTAAAACCGAGAATCACACGAGTTGGCGTGCCCGCGTAGCAGTTACACAAACACAAACTTAATCGAAAGTGGATAAATGCTAGATTAGGGAATTTTCAATAAATAGAATAACTACAAAAAGCTGTGTGTAAACAAAAAATATGGCAAAGGGCTGCCACAGTGTCCCCGCGTAGACCGAAGGCTGGCATAAACACGCCGCCGAAGGTAGATGTAACGCTAATACACTTGAGTGGTAAGGCGGTCAGGAAGGTTGGCTCAACGGTCGCTACGAGTGGCACGCGCCGGTGGCAGTGGAAGAGGTAGGGTCAAGGACGGGGAGACAAAGCGTATCTAGAACAGATAATTTGCTGGGAGTAGTTAAGGGAGTTAATATATGGACAGAGGGATCAGTTGCACGGTCGAGGAATCAGGATCGTCGGAAGTTAGCAAGGAGATCGAACTCGGCTAAATGTCCGAGCCGAGGATTGCATGAGAAACATCGGCAATCACGAAGATCCAGGAGGACGACCGACGGTGGCCAGTGTTTAGGATGAGAAACAGGCTGCCAAGAGTGAGTAATGGGGAACAACTGACAACTTAGAGATGAAGACCGCAGCTGGGGAAACGACGGCCGGATGGAGTGGGAGGGACAACGCTGGTTTGGGCTCTGAGATCCACTAGGAAACGTCTGCGTGTGACACTGTCACAGATATAGAAGGTGCGACCAGAGCCGAAAGAGCCAGAGAAAATGGTCGCCTCTGAAGTCGAAATAGTGCTACCTTAAGCTACGTGTATGATTGGCCGGCAGGTGGACTCCGGACCAAGGACTGAACTTGAGGAAGAACATGTGACGACCAGTCCTGAACCAGCCTGTGGGATTTGGTAAATACTTTGGTAATGTTTGCAGAGTAAAAAAGTGACTCAACCTGAAGGAAGTAGAGTTCAGGCGCATTCGTCCAGAAGTCTGGTAGAGGCAGTGATACTGCGCTAAAAGATCGCCTCCTCTAGCGGAAGCGTCCGTCATAAAAATGGCGGCGCCGAAACTTGGGTGAAAGTTTATGCGAGGAAAGAATTAATACGGCACTGCGCAACGGTTGTTTGGCTATTGTCGTCGAGTGAAAACACGTGAAAAGGCAGCGCGCGTTCTCGTTAAGGACCACAACTATAGCAGGTCTTGACGATCGATAATGCGATCCCACGCTAAGACCAAGTCGATAAAGGCCAAGCAAAAGGACCACACAAGAACAGACTTAACTGTATACACCACTCAGCGATGGACAAAGTCAGTGGATGAAGTCACTTACTCAAACCGAAACTGACACCAGTCGAAGTGTCGCGTAACCGTTACACAGACATTGACTACAACAAAAGTGAATAAAGTTAGCGAATGTGAGAGACCCGGGTTGATGATCTGAGAAATATTAAGGGCTTGTCGGATCACTGGAATTGAGTGGCTGACGTTTTGCAGAGCTTGGTCGGTTCTCCATCACCAAAGCGTTTTGTGCAAAACTCGACTATAATTTTGAGTGAGGCATCCATCTAGACCTTCCGACGGCCTATAAAGTCCTACGTCGCTACATACGCATGACCAGGACAGGACGGACACACAGGGCTTAAAAATATCGAACAAACACGGCCTTTCGACTAGTTCACCCAGGAGCACAGGTGCAACCAACCCCCATTGAGGTGACAACGCATAACGCAATAGGCCGCCTAGATTCACAGACAACCGTCAGTAGGCCGAGGTAGCAAAAGAATAAAAAACCGATTGGTCCAAAGCCAAATGCCTCGGCCGACTGTTCAAAATTCTGTTCGATTTTTTGCACAAAACGCGTTTTGACAAGGGAGGCCGGCCAATCCTCCCGAAACGTCAACCATTCAATTTCACTGATCCGGCAAGCTCTTCATATTTCAGAAAAGGGAATAAGTGCGAAGTTAGGACATACTTAAGAAAAAGAATAACTATAAAAGTTGTCGATAAACAAATATAAGACAGAGTGCTGCCACAATGTTACCGTATGTAATATATATGAAGCAGGGGAGGCTCATCGGAAAAATCGTGTTGGACTCGTGAATTTTAAAGCTGATGACATTGAGTCATATCTGAGCGACATAAACAATGAGTGGTGGAATTATTACAAAAGCGCTTGAAAATTCCGAGTAGAGCTCGACTTTTTCGAAGTGCCTCTTGGATTTCCGATGTATTAGCCCTGAGTGCACACTATCTTAGTTATGGCATACTTTGGGCGTCAACGGCTTCACCCGGTCAGAAGTCAGGAAACATTGGCACAGAGACAGGCAGAGAACTTCGAGCAGGTTATTTTTCCGTCTCCGTCGCGATCATGACACCCTATCCAAGTTTCTTTGCAGCAAGTTCACTCTAGGAATGAGATTGGGAATCTGATTACGAGAAAATATGGATTCTGTTTTGAGTACGATCACATCTGACGTTCACAATCGGCTACGTAGATCTGAAACAAAAATTTATGATATAAAAAATTCGGTTTATTTCGTCCCTACATGACAATATTCGAGGATGTACCACAAAGAATAAAGGCCATCATAGAGGACGTTAGGAGGAAGAGTGTTGGTCTGCGATGGCAGTTCGAGTTCTGTCTTCATCCAGTCAGAGACATGCTTACGAGTCTCAAACTTCCGCGAAGAAATGTCACGCTTGCTTACATAAGCCTCATATATAATGGAACAGGATTTAGTCCTACTAAGGCTAATCTACGAACTTCTTTTAATAGATCCCTCCCACTCATCTCTGCTCTCCGCGATGCCATACACATGCGCATACGCAGTTGTATCCTTGGTCCCCTTTGGCAAAGAAAACATTAGCAAGCATTGCTTATCAAAGAACAAGAAACGCGGTATCTGAAGCCAGATTACAGCAGAGTTGTATCTGCTGATCGAAAAATTGCAATATTCATCACAAACCTGAGTGAATGCGTCAGCGAGGAAAACCGAGAGTTCGATGAAAGGCAAGCCTACACTCTACTCGCTGAGGACACAACAAAAAGCTGATCAGAAATTGTGAAGGGTGGGAAGGAGTTCTCTCGACTGAAGCTTGAACGTTCGAGCGACTGCAAGTTTATGATCATCAATGATTTCTATACTGCACATGCGTATAGCCTTCCAAAGGTGCGCAAAGCTGACAGGCCGTTAAGGATGGTAGTGTTTCTCGTTGGACTATCTACCTATAACCACGCCAAGTGGTTATACAGGCGAAAACCGGAAGAAAGTTTTAGAAAAAACCCTAGACACAACAAAATTGGGCGCGAAACAGCTTCGATGATTACATGGAAATTACCGTCCCCTGTTCTTACACACACCTAGGTAAATAAATGGTGCTCGAATCTTGAAGTCCACCTATTCTTCCGAACAGGTTTACACTCGACAGGCATTTTACCGTATCTTTTATTGTTGTATTTGTCGAAACATCCAAAATCACATAGTTTTTAACGATTGCCTAAACTATGAACATTTTCAGCAGATGGGTTTTGACTGACTGAATCCACAAGTTTAGGCTCATATTTTCGTTTGCAAGCCTCAAGAAATCGTATAACAACCGTGACATTTTAATCATTGACTAACCGACGCCGTCGGAACTACCTTGACGGGCTCTAAATGAATTTATGATCATTTGATCTGTCAAGGGAGCTGGCAGGTCTTCACCAAGTTGAAAATCGCATCGCCCAGAAGGGACCAAAGTTGGAACGGCAGAAACACTGTCGAAGACCGTATGGTCAGGAAAGTGCACACGCCGACAAAAACGGGAAAGCTAGAAACAAGCGTGTTTGAATGCAGTTACTGTGTTTAAGAAGTTCAAAAAGAAGCCTAATACTTTGCGAAAAAAGTTCCGGCAAATTGCGTCTAGTAAGTCATTTAAGGTCCAAATTAGAAACATCATTAATGGCACCCACCCAGACAGATTAAGAAAGCCATAATGATAAAAAATGTAAGCGTCCAAAAGTCCTTCACAGGCCGTGAATTGCTTTAAGTCTTTAAAACTCTTCAACTATGCACGGAACCAGGGACAAACTAACACAGGGTGTCTGTTCCCAGGTTGACTCGCGGTTGGGAGCCAAATATGCATAGGCTGGGCTCTGGTAGCCGAACGATTCCGATTAGTCTGTTGACTCACAGTCCTTATTCATATACCAGTACACAGACGCCTAATGCCCGAAACGACAGACGACAATCCTCTCCGTAAATAAAAAGACAGCCTTTCTAAGAGGAGACACATGCAGAGAAAGATTGCATTTAAACGGTGTCTAGCAAAATAGATATCTACAAACGCGAAAGGAAAGAGAGCACCAGAAGTAAAACATTCGATAATCTGGAAAAATAGGAGACATCCGCAGGCAAGCATGGCAAAGACGAAATGATCATGTCTTAGAGGTGCAGCTTAGATCCCACGGTCAGGAAAACGAACATCCACAGTACGAAGCAAATGTTTATGTGGAGAGGAGGGGCCGGCGACCGAAGAGGCGATCGTGCTACTAACTGAGTAGGCGACAGAGTGCGTTGTGCAAAGGAATCGAGAGGAGAGCGGCAGCGGTAATTCCTAACCCATCCGCAAATGCTGCGATCGACATGACGTACTCTTTGTAGGCCGGCTCTGTCTAAAATGATAAAAATAAGGGTTTTGTTTGGAAACGCACAATGCGCGCTCATATGTTTATCATCTTAATCACAGCACGAATATCAACCTAATGATCAGACATGCGTTTCATCGGATTTCTGCCGCTGCATGTGCAGTTGAGCGGGACTAGGAACATCAGCATTGTCCACGTGGCTTCTGGTAGCAATCCAGTGTTCCGAGCGAATTTTACAATTTATTCCAAAGACAAGAAACACACTGTGACTTACGTAGTCGTAACCGGACATGCAAGGCGCGGCACTAACTTTATATATGCATTAGAGCTACATGTAGAAACCCTAAAGAGATACGCTAAGAATCAACTGGAAAGTACCCTCGTAAAAATAGAACTTGGGCGTCATGTGTGTCAAAGCACAGCCCTCCTTGACACCCTGACGGATGACGAAAGACAAGAATTCGGCAACTACACTCAGTCTATAGGAAGAAAACGAGGAGAGGAAAAAATTTCTGCGCTCCTTAGAAGTGCGCATGAAATGAAACCACAATCACGGTTTCCGAAAGATCCAGACCGTTCAAAGAAAATAGGCTCACCCAAATAGGTTTATTTAAATGCTGACGTTTCAAAGAGCTGGGTCGGCTCTCCATTGTCAAAGCGTAAAATGCACTTAATCGATCAGAAATTTAATTTAAAGTTGCATGTTTTGTTGGTCGGCCTCATGCTGATCGATTTTTCTCTCCTCTCGCTGACCCGGCCTCTCGGGAGCTGGTTGACGGGCGTTTTGCCTGCACAGCAGATGCCGCACCCACAGAGTTTATTGCCGTTTGCGAGACGGAGGATGGTTGCTGTTGAAGTGTAGGATCTGTCTCGTGTCGGTGGATTTTCGCAATACTGTAGTTTGCAGCTGTCCAGTGGTACACCGGCGCACAAGTAAGTCAAGGACGGGCAGTTGGTTGTTTGTTTCTGCTTGCATCGTAAATTGGATATCCGGGTCAACCGAGTTCAGTAGTTCCTTTAGGTGCTCAATGTCAGTTGTTTTGACAACGACGACGGTGTCATCGACATAGCGGGCCCAGAACTTTGGTTGATACTTGGTGAACACCAAGTGTTCTACCCGTTGAAGAACTACTTCAGCGATTAGGCGTGATATACGGGAGTCTATAGGAGTACCTTTTATTTGTTCGTACATGAGTCCACCGAAGGTGAAATAGGTCTTGAGGCAGCATCACAGAAGCTCGAGCAGATGCTCAGACTTCAGGGGTTTGTCTCTCTCTTCATAACGCTCTGCCAGTAGTTGGTCCACAACGTCTATCGCTAGTTGCTGTGGAATGGAGGTGAAGAGCGAAACGACATCAAAGGATACCATGGACTCGTCTGGCTCTAACTTCAGATGTTTTATGCGTTCGAGGAATTGATATGCAGATGCTACTGCTGTTGGTGAGCCTTCTGTGGTACTGCCTTATGACCTATTTCACCTTCGGTGGACTCATGTACGAACAAATAAAAGGTACTCCTATAGACTCCCGTATATCACGCCTAATCGCTGAAGTAGTTCTTCAACGGGTAGAACACTTGGTGTTCACCAAGTATCAACCAAAGTTCTGGGCCCGCTATGTCGATGACACCGTCGTCGTTGTCAAAACAACTGACATTGAGCACCTAAAGGAACTACTGAACTCGGTTGACCCGGATATCCAATTTACGATGCAAGCAGAAACAAACAACCAACTGCCCGTCCTTGACTTACTTGTGCGCCGGTGTACCACTGGACAGCTGCAAACTACAGTATTGCGAAAATCCACCGACACGAGACAGATCCTACACTTCAACAGCAACCATCCTCCGTCTCGCAAACGGCAATAAACTCTGTGGGTGCGGCATCTGCTGTGCAGGCAAAACGCCCGTCAACCAGCTCCCGAGAGGCCGGGTCAGCGAGAGGAGAGAAAAATCGATCAGCATGAGGCCGACCAACAAAACATGCAACTTTAAATTAAATTTCTAATCGATTAAGTGCATTTTACGCTTTGATAATGGAGAGCCGACCCAGCTCTTTGAAACGTCAGCATTTAAATAAACCTGTTCCGGAGAGCCTCTTCTTCTTCTTCCTCTTCCTCTTCCTCTTCTTCTTCTTCTTCTTCTTCTTCTTCTTCTTCTTCTTCAAATAATGAACCCGGATCTCTCAACTTTGCTAATCTGAGCATATCCAGATCGGTAAGTAAACAACCACTCCTATATGACACTTGATAAAACATCACTTGAAGCATTATCCCTTGGTTCTATGTGTTGCATACCTCGTCGAAAAGTTAATCAGTTAGCATAGGAAACTTAATTGACTAACTGCATGCAAATTTCTTCGCCTTTCCGCTCTCGCCCCGCCTGTGTTTTAAAACTATTATCGATTTTTCAATCACTCGCATGTTGGACTATACCCCGTTTCCATATAATTGTACTGGCCTAAAGAGAATTTATAGAAAGTAACGTATGCTGGTCAACTCGTCTTCTGAATAAGCATGTGAGTTGAATAATATCAACTTCAACAGTTGAGCGCATGTTTACACCAGCAAAACTGACATTTCACCGGAATCTGCCCTAACATACTCCTACCAAGGGTACAAGCTAAAAGCCCATATGGTAGTATAGAGTAGGGTGGGGTAAATGCCTGTCCACAACACGCACTATCACCAGTTGGGCAGGTGTAAACAAGGCGTTATCAGACGAAGTTGGCAATAATAAACTCGAGTGATTGCATAAAAGTTTGGACTGAGTCAGATTCGACGAGTTTACTCCAAAGTTCTTTGTTAAATTTGGGCCACAAAGTGATTGCACCGAAACAATACGCATACTGAAGGCGCGCTGAGAGGAATTGACACACACTACGACTAACCTTGGATGAAAAGCACCTCAGAAACCCCGGAACGCATGTCAATGTTGATCAACTTCGCTCTCGGATAGGGGCTCAAGGCAAAGATCCCCCTCCCTCCCAAGTTCGCAACTGGCTATATGATACAAATTATATGTCAGCAATGGCGTCGGTGTGCACTATAAAGCATTACACCAGTTGGGGCGACGGCGCGAAAAGAACACGCAAAAGCAAGTTCACCAAGGTATGCGTCGCAACCACGGATAAGTGGCCAAAACTGGTCAAGTCCCAGTGCAACCTGCCTTATGGACTTATGCGTTCATCTAAGCCGAGGATATTAAAGTGACAAACAGGATGACGAGGGCCAGTAATAGAAGAGAGGATGACAACTAACCTCAGTAAGTATACGATAGAAGGTATTTACGTAGGACAATCCACCGAGGATGCCCTCGTAGAGGATGAAGGCAAACATGACCCAGATTGAGGGCATGAACGGTTTAATCGTCTGCGCCAGACAGATTCCTAAGTTCAGAGCCTGAAAGAAAATTGACAAGAAAGTGTTAATAAAAAATTCCGAGTGCTAATTTAACCAATAAGATATAATTGGAAGACCTAGCATTCGGAAACCATTCTTGAGCAGCCCTTGAGTACAGTAGGAACAATCTGCATGAAATACAGGAAGACTTTGCAAAAAACTGTGGAAAGTACGGCAAGTGTTATTGATTGACAAAATGCGGTCTAGTGGTAAGCAGAGCATTTCCTAAGGCAAACTAGAAGCATTAATCGAAGGGGCTCCAATAATTCGTCTATAGAAAGGGAATATTCCATCAACGGTTTAAAATCCTATTAGTGTTGGTGAAAAGCAGTCTCAGCGAATGCGATAGGAGAAGCAACGTTCGACTGGATAGGTTTATTGCGTGCCTGGCTTTGGAAAGTGAAACCTCGCTCTTCAAGTGCAGTTACCGCCAGGATTTGAACGAATTAATTGGCCCGTCCGGAAGATTTCAACCGTAGATTGGCCATCTCCGCCTGCGTCTGCTATTCATACACTTCGGAGTTTAGTGTTGCCTGCATGATGCTTGAGGTAAAGGTGCAAGGAGGGAGACAACGTCAAATGACACCATAACCTTGCCTGACTGAAAGGGAAGTTAGTTTATTAATCGTTCGGCTGAGCGGGACACCGCTTGTTAACCTGAAGTTAGGACACTCAATCCTCAGAGGAGGCAGTTTGCAAGCACGTACGTATGTGCTCTCCAAGGTAAGACAATGGGAAGACACCCGAGCAGCAGATCTTCAAGAAATCGTAGAATAGGACATAGCTCGGGGCAACGCCGATGGGCAATAGATGACAGCAATTCTCAGAAAACGGACTAGAGCGTAGCGGGGTCTAGACTTTCGGAGTCCTCTGCTGCGGTTAAGTACACTGTACCTGTGAGTGCGCTCAGTCCAGTACGCAAACTGCCAAGAGGGTCCAGTCTAGTTATCGGGAGGTATTTGGAGAAAACAGCTATCTACGAATGTGTCAGGAGAAACCGATGGCCCTAAAAATATGGCTCTAAAGGAGTCGACCAGTTCCGCTCGTAGCGGAGTGTTCAGAAGACAAAAGGAATGTCGGTAAAATGTCGCAACCCCCGCGCCACTCGGACTGCGTTCCCCAGAATCTCGACCCAACACCGCCGCCAGGTGATAAGTTCAAAAGGTCCCATTTCCGAAGGACAGAGGCCACCCATCGTTTAAGTCAAAATGTATCTGCGAAGGATGTAACGACGATGGAGATGATCAGCAATTACGGAAAAGGAGGCGCGAACATCCATTGGTAGTACAGAGGATGGGCCCGACACCGGTGCCATCTTGGCTGCCCAATCTCGGCAGAGTCAAGGTCTTCAGCCGAGATAGTGGCAACTCCACAGGACAGCTGCAGGCGGGATAACTAAAGGGCGCTCCACTAAGTCATACTAGTTTGCTGGATGTTTACATGGCCTTGCAAAGGAACATGAGGGGTTATTCGACGGGGCAAAAGATCTGCATGACAGCCAAAGACAAAAATGGCGAATCCGCAGCCGACACTAGCGACCCACCGGACAGACAGAGCGTCGCGTCCCAACTGGAAGCCATAAAAAGTGAGTCACATTGCATTTATTAGTTTCTGACTACGGAGAGACGTAAATGAGCTTTGAAACGGCGTAAACGTAGAAAAGTTGTCTCAGTGAATGGTGTTTCGTCATCTGAAGTACCGAACTCGAGATTACGGTGCTAACCTAAATTTTAATAGCATGCTTTCGTACACTGTATAGCAATTGACTACTATTGTAAAGACACTAAACGGAGTGCGCCATCCTTCATTAATACTCTAAATAGGGCTCCCACCTGCAGTACAGCCATGATCCACGTTCGTTTGAATTGGACAAGACGGACAGAAGACCGTGAAATAAAGACACCGCATTGGTATAATACCTGAAACCTAAACGAAGAATGGGAGTAAAGTGGTGCGGCTTAAATTATTTCTGGAATATGCAAAAAAACTTGCAAACGACGGACTCGTCCACTACATAGAGGATTTCTTATCGTTTTTCACCGAAATTACGGCCAACGATTGCGCGGGTGACCAAAAACAAGTAAGACAACAAATATGGGCTCAAGCATAAGAGCAAAGAGAGGTGGGGTTTAGTAGTGGCCCCAACACTGTCTGAGGACCAAGCTCAAGTTTCTATCTGAACGAGTACAACGGCAAAATAAACGACAACGGGTAAGTCTGAAGAGGAAGTGCGCTATGGTCAAGCTTTGATTTGGTCGTCGCATGTCGAAAAGTGGGTGAAATTTGACACTATAAAGAGGGCACGACTGGCCAAGCCATCGATACCGGTGCCAGCGCAGGTCAGAACAGTTTGGCCTTTCATGAAAAAGCAAGACGAAACTGGAGGTTTTCACTTAACATCGATATTGCTGAGCGTGAGTGAGTTTCGAATTGTCGAAGATGATCAGTTCGAACTAGAGGTGGAAGAGGAAAAAGACGCATTGAGTGGTCAAACATGAGAGAACATTTCGAGCTTTCGGACAGAGTATTTCGAAGAATTGTAAATTATGTCATTTAAATACATTAAACGCTTACCAGGGCTTGATTGATGAGGTATTCGAAGAAGTAGACAAGCGCCAAGGACATTAATAGTGGGAAGACATACTAAAAAGATAAGTAGGCAAGTAGTAGATCGATGAGAGTTTAGACTGGAGGCCACGTAAGGCTGGAAAACATGTTCCAGTAACGTAAACAGCAGAACTTAGAGAACAAGGAGTCCAAATAGGCCGAAGTGCACCTTACAGGCTGAGAGTATTCTACCTGCTCTACGTATAAAATTGTGCGATGTCGTAGTATGAAAGATGCCCTTTAGAACTATCACAACGAACTAAACGCACAAGGTCTAAAGTTGTCATTTCAACCGATTTGTAAAAGCAGACGCAAGGATAATCCATTGATATTTTGGCAGATTTTGACTAATTCATATTGACCCAACTGTGAAAAACTCGGTGCCTCAGTGGGATTCGAACCCACGCAGTAAGGGGGAGGCTTTAGCGCAGCCAACGCTCTAACCACCTGAGCTACGAGGACCCGCCGGACGACGCGAGTTTAATCACATTTGGGTCAAGTTACCCGCCCAACCTACTGCAACGTCTGGAATCCACCAAATCTGATACAGTAAGTTGACTGCCCAAGCAGGATTTCCTAAGTACTTCACCTAGAATCCACCAGACGACTACCAGGCTCGCGTAATTCATTGATATTTTGGCAGATTTTGACTAATTCATATTGACCCAATTGTGAACAACGCGGCGCGTCGGTGGGATCCGAACCGACGCAGCAAGGTGAAGGCGGATGTTCCTTGAGGAACCAAAACGGCGACAGTTGGGTCAATATGAATTAGTCAAAATCTGCCAAAATATCAATGAATTACGCGAGCCTGGTAGTCGTCTGGTGGATTCTAGGTGAAGTACTTAGGAAATCCTGCTTGGGCAGTCAACTTACTGTATCAGATTTGGTGGATTCCAGACGTTGCAGTAGGTTGGGCGGGTAACTTGACCCAAATGTGATTAAACTCGCGTCGTCCGGCGGGTCCTCGTAGCTCAGGTGGTTAGAGCGTTGGCTGCGCTAAAGCCTCCCCCTTACTGCGTGAGTTCGAATCCCACCGAGGCGCCGAGTTTTTCACAGTTGGGTCAATATGAGCAAGGATAATCACCAAAAGGCAAGACCTACGTCCAACTCTCTATCTTCTAGTGACTTTCGATGGGTTATACAACAGGTGGTAGGGTGGCAGTGGTGCGAAAAGGTAACTATCTTTTCTAGGTTGGTAATCCATTAACCCGGAGGGGGTGAGTGTGTAAGTTAAGGAAACCGTGCAATTGTAAAGGAAACATACGACGACGTAGACGCGGCCAAGATCAGGCCTTTGGTCACATTAGCCTTTTCATCGTCTATGTCGCAAACATCGCATAACCACCACCAACATCGCAGATAGAGAATAAGGTCAT